AACGAGTAGTTCTTTTTTGATCGTTCTTATCCAAATCTTCTCCGAAGCTGCATCTAGGGCCACAACTTTAGCAGTAAACCAAACCTTTGGTAACCTTGATCATTAATTACGACAATAAAAGAAGTTTTAGAGTTTTGTAAAACTACGTATCTCTATCTAGTCTGTGCCCTGTTAACGATGCGTCTGTACCAGACCGACCGTATAGTGAAAGCCTGAAAATGAACCCAAAGGATATTTCACCAACTTCAACTTTCGGCTATTCACTATGAAAGCGCCTTCACATAAGATTCTTCCAAAAATGAACATGACTTTTGAACACGTTTACATAGCATATTTCTCATTGACATATGAATACCATTGTCAACTACTCCCTCTTTTTAAAACACACTTCCAAAGAAAAGGCTTTTTTAAACAGTAGCGGAAACTATTACCTATATGGTGGCCTTTCAAAAAGGCCAAATTTATCAGATCATTAAATTATACATAAAATCGTAAAGGCAAAATTCGACGCGCACGGTTTCTCGTTAATAGATTTCTTTGACCATGTTATCACTTTGAGTTTGCTTTGACGCTGCCGCATTTCATAAACAACAATATAAAGAACTATGATTTGCTTCATCCATAATATTCTTTTGTCGTATGAAAATAGGATGGTTGCGAACTCTGCGAGTACTTTGCGCACACATGTGTTCTGACATTGCGATGCTTTGCAAAATATTTATCCATCGCAATTTCTCTATATACTTGGACAATAAATGAATTAATATTTTCATATCACGTAATTCGCTGACTCAGAATATTTGAAATAGCGTTGAATTTTTAAGTTGAGTGGTTCATTATTTATGAGCTTGCATATATTTCGTCATATGCTTGATTTTTTCTGAGCGTAAACATTAATCTATGTTGTGACGGATATGCTTCTTTTGTAACACGATTTTCTTCTTTTTTGTACAGGGAATTTCAAAATGCAAATTTGTAATTTTTTGCTCCTTTCTGTTGAGGAATTGTTAGTTTTTGTAACCTTTATTAGTTGAAATCAGTTTACTTTCCGCTGACTAACTGTCGTCTACCATATCGCACAAGCTAAATACACTTTTCCCGTTTAGAAAATTGTGCTGATAAGATAATCAAGATCTACACAAACAAAAGGTGTATATCTTCTACATTTAATTCTTTTTTTCTTTTCAAGCGCGCTAAAGGCTGTTATCACTCAGATCTGGGATATGATGAGCGCTTTAGAGTTCGAAGTATTTGCAGTACGAGGGCAATACTGGAAGACATCGTACAACAACAAAGGCCGAATAGCTCTATTGCAAATCTTGTTTATATTGCTACATTTGCAGAATGTAGAGCATAAGCACAACTTCTTTTACATAGTTTTTTAACTCTTACGACTATCGATCAATGATTGAAAATTACTCCATCAAAAAGAAGGCAAAAAAGCAGATACCAACAGATAAATAAAAACAAAAAAGCTCCGATGTGATGAGAAAGTTGTTGTGCTTATAAACAAGAAAGAAAACGTCTTACAAAACAAAATATCATGTGATTGTAAAAGAGGTAAACCAGCTAGGGAT